AATATATTAAATATATTAAAATTCATAATATATTAAAATTATTATATTTTAGTTCATTAATGACATTTTTTTAAATTTAAACTATAGTGACCTTTGCTCTGAATCTCTTTTAATCTGGTCTTATTGGGTTGTTTTGTTCATTTTCATTTAATGTTATGTATAGTTTGCATTGAAGTCTTGTTTTTACAAGCAATTTTTATTTCTCTATTCACTTACTGCATACTTTTGCATTAAGTATATGTTCCAAATATATTATTTGGTATGTTAACGATAATGTTTTTTAAATGGTTGCTTTAGTAGTTCAGGTATGATTAACATATTAATTTGATCATTTATTTACGCAGTGCAGAGTAACAAACCCCAGACCTCAAACATGCTAGACAGTCGTTCTTCCTCTGAGCCATCCACTAACTCTCCTCTAGAAGGGAATGTGTCTATCATGGCTTGTGAGAATCTCTTTCAGGGTGTAAGGTCTTAGCTGAGTCAATTGTGTCACTTCCACTCAGCTTTGCTCACCTTCTCTTCTTTTTAAAATATTATTTGCTTATTTATTATTTATTTTATATGTATGAGTGTTTTGCCTGCATGTATGTAAGTGCACCCATGTTGTGCAATGCCCATGGGAAAAAGAAGAGGGTGTTGGACGTCCTTGAACCGCAGTTACGGACAGTTAGCTGCCATGTGGGTGTTGAGAATCGAACCCGGATCCTCTGCAAGAGCAGCCAGTGCTCCTAACTGCTGAGCCATCTCTCCAGCCCCACCTTCTTTTCTTCGATTGGCATTATTGTTATGTATTTTGCAACTATGTATAAAACAAATATAAATATATATGTTTATAATCAGTCCTTATTTATCTGTTAAGGTGAAAACAGAAAGAGAGCAAGTGTTTGTAGCTGTTGTTATATTGATCTTATTAAATAGCCTTTCTAGTCTATTTGTCTCCTTACATTCAGGCTGCCAGCCTGACTTAGCCCAGTATGACTTCACTCTCAACCTCACGCTGTTATTGACAAACATCGTTTCTTATGTTAGAGCTCAAAATTAAATTATATCCTTATCTTATCACGGCATCTGAAATGCAGACTAGCTGGAACCCAGATTCTCAGTTGACAGTATTCTGCATTTGTTTCTTTGTTGTTTCCTTTTACCACATTGAATAGACTACCTCATGGTATTTTAACCTCTGTCATTTTTGGTGAAGAATCAAACCATCAATTTTATCAGTACTTCCTTATAAATGAAGTCTTTATTTCTTACTGTTTTCTAGATTTCTACTTGTGTTTTTATTAATAAGCATTTTTGTATGAGGGGTATGTGTCAGTCTCTCTCTCTCTCTCTGTGTGTGTGTGTGTGTGTGTGTGTGTACATAAATTTGCCTACTTGGAGTCTGTTGAATTATTTTCTGTTTAGTTTCTGGTTTCTCATCAAATTTGACGCAGTTTACACTAACAAGAGTGGTAGCAGTTGGTTCAGAAAGAAAAATGACACATTACACATAATTTCTTTCATGTGTGTGAGGTTTGTCAGATGAAAGGTTGGAGAGAGTGAGCATTAGACAGAAAAAATACAGTTTCTGGAGATCTAAACATGATGAGGCCTTAAAGGGAAGGAGAGGCTTCTGTTTAATGGTTGGAGAGAAGCTTCATTAAGAGTGAGAATGAGAGATAGGGGGAGAAAAAGTTATAGTGGCCATGAAAGGGATGCTGGGATGGGGGTGGGAAGAGGAGCTTCTTCAGAGTATCATCCAGAAAGAGCTCCCCCACAGAACCTGAGGAGTCTCAGACTCATCCCCAGAACATGGGAGAAATCTGACTTTTTATAACATTTTAGGAACAACAGGAAGTTTTACATTCCATGATTTAGTTCAACAGTTTGTCAGGGGTAACTGACAAACATCCTGGAGGAGGTGGGTACTGGTTAGGACCATAAATCAGAGGCTATTGTTAGGCCACAGGAAGGCAGCTGCTTTTTAAAAATTTTTAAACATGTGTATTGAATTTTTGAGACTTTCAAACAGTGTATTTTGATGGTAGATTCCCCATCAGCACCCCCATTTATTCCCCACTCCTAATTTAATTTGATATACTCTATTATATATATATGTATAGATATATCTTATTATATATAATTATAAGTCAAATTTGTTCCCCCAAATATTCTTCAGTGTGGGTTCATCCACTGGAGATGGATTAACCTATCAAGAGTCTCATCCTCGCAAGGTATTGCTCAGCTTCCCAGAAGCCAGCAGCTTCCAGTTGTTTCTTAGGTTAGGTTGTATTTCTACCACCATCTTTCCCCTGTCTATATTGGGATTTTTGTCTGGTTTGAGCTTGCATGGGATTTGTGCATGACATCACCATCGCTGTGAGCTCATAGGAGTAACTGACAGTCTGGAAAAGTCTATTTCCTTGTGGTCAATCACCACATGATTCTTACAATCACTTTTCCTCCTCTTCCACAATGATCTCTGAACTTTGGGAGGCAGAAGTTTGATATAGGTGTCCTACTCAGGGATACACACTCTGTGGCCTTTTGTTCTCTGTTCTCTGCACATTGACCATTTGTGGGTTCTGTGCTAATTATCATTTGCTACATAAGAAAGTTTTTTCTGGTGAGAGTTGAAAGATTCATTAATCTCTGGGTTTGGCAATAAGATATTAGAAGCCAGTTTAATACTGTAGCTATTTAGTAGAAAACTAGTATTAGGCTCTCTCCCATGTCCTTTGACATGTCTAGCTGAAGGTTCCTAAGCTTGATATCAGTGCTAGATATGGGCTCCATCCTATGAAGCAGACGTTAAATCCAATGAGAGAGTAGTTATTTACTCCTATAATATTTGTACCACTATTGCACCAGGGGACATACTGTACCAGACCAGTTGTTGTAGTCCACAGGATTCACAGATGATTATTTTTCTTTCTGGTGGCATTCATAGCACCTTCCAGCACTATGAACTCTAGCCAGTAGAAATGAGACCCTGAAGTCAGCACAGCTTAATTTCTCCTCGTTTGTTATACAGCTCATGTATATATTATTATTTATTTATTTGCTCATTTGTTTAATGACTGGCTGAATTATTCTAGTGAAGTCTATTCTCATTTTCTTTCCCCTTCATATGAGCCCTGCTGTGTTCTACAGCAGGCTTAGAGTAGGGTATGGGCAGAGTCATCTTCATAAGTCAGCAAACTAACAGACTCTGAATGTCTCAGGACAACAAACTCTAAAGCCTCATCACTTGTTGCTGATTATTCCACTGTTTTTTAGCACTGCCCTTTGGTCTAAATTTCCCCAAAGACTGACTCAATTAAATTTGGGTTCCTTTATGGGACACATACTGATATCAGAGTTTGATATTTCTGATCCTCCTCAGGCATCACCTAGGCTATTTATTTTCAAGGTTTCCTTTCCTCATGTGCTGGCTATGGTTTGCCAGATTGCTAAGAGACTACCAGTTTCCTTTTACCTTCTTTTCAACAGAGCCTCCATTGCCTTCAGGGTGCCCTTAAGTCAGCAGCAGATGGAAGCTCCACGCTGTGCCCATCAATCTGAGAATCCCCTTTCTCCTTCAGGATCTCCACATAGTCATAGCTGGATCTGTGCTTGCACTGTAGAAAGGAATTTCAAGATAAGCCAAAGTGAACAGAGGTTAGTGAGTTTATTAAGTTAAATAGAGGGGACATAGGCTCTAGATGTCAGTATGGGTGTTGAGAGAGATACACTTATGTGTTTATAATGACTGTGTTATGAGCTTTCTAATTTTCATTAGTCAAAAGATACAGTTTACAAGATCTGAAGATAGAAGAAAGCTTGAAATTTAATTAAAGTTTAAAAATTAAGTAAAAATATAGGAACTTGAGCTTCTTTACTTATTTTCCTCATCTTAAACATTTCCTTTCATAAATGAAATGGCAAGGTAATTTTATGAGGTGTACTCTTCAGATTTAGGAATGAGAGAGGAGGCTGACACAGTTAAACTTAAGGCCATACCCATTCTATCCCTACAGAAGCATAGTTCGTTATTTTTAACAAGCTTGTTTGAGATGTCTGTCGATATACAAGTACTATCTCTGCACATATGCAATTTTGTCTTATCAGTGTATTAAAATTTCAAGTGCCCAACCAAATTCTGGAGCAAGGTGCTAATTTTTTCTTCCTATTTCCTCATAATTTTTTCTGTCTTTCTACTTTGCCTCAATTAGACTTCACCTTCTTGTATTTTTTGTGCAGGAAATTCAGGAAAACCTTGGGACTTCCTGTTTTATGACCTATTTCTACACAGGCTTTGGGCCTGGGTTGGGACAGGATATAGATGCATTTTGAGCTGGAGTAGAGATGACCACCAGGGCCCAATGTTCTCAAGGGACTCACCCAGGGCAGAGTCTCCATCCCATGAGCAGAAACAGGGCTAGTCGTTGGAAAAGGAAGCATCATTTTTCCTCAGTCCGGCCATCCACCCAGTGTTTAGTCTCTTCAATGGAAATGAAGAACTGAACTAAGAAAAATGAAGCCTGTCCCCAACTGTGAAGACATTATAACTCACCTACCAGAGCTATGGTGACTCAGAAGACCATAAATGACTGCTGTACTCTACATGGTAACCTCCCCAATTATACAGAGTAACCCTAGTCACATCCCCTCCTTGATTCTTAGCAAATAGCAAACAGAACAAAGTAGATGGGTGGTGGGGGCGGGGAGCGAGAGAGAGAAAATACTCTAGAAGAAACAATACATTGAAAATCCTTATATTTAAGACTGGTCCAAATTTATGTAGAAGCAAATAAAAAAATGCAATTGACTTCATTTCTCCAACACTAACATGAAAAAGAAGGAGAAGGAGGCAGCAGAGGAGGAAGTAGAAGAGGAGAGAGCAGGGAGAAGGCCGAGAACAGGCAAGGCAGCCATTTGGAAAGGATAGTCTCAAAACATTAAATGATATATTCTCTTGGAACTGAGATATGGGATCATCTCTCTTTTTTTTTATTTTGTATTTTTTGGACTTTCAAAAATGCTTGTATACCTGGGTGTGGTTGTGCACACCTTTGATCCCATCGCTCAGGAGGCAGAGACAGGCAGTTCTCTTTGAGTTCAAGGCCAGCTTGGTCTACATAGTGAGTTCCAGGCCAGCTTGGGCTACAGGGAGACCCTATCTCAAAAAGACCCCCCAAAATGGAAGCATTTTAGTGCTTAAACTAATTTTCTAGTGAAATATTGAGACACACAGCTAGAGCTGTCCTGGGTTCCTAGTTGCTGACCTTGCTGATGATGTTCCTGCTCTTCCCTCGCATTCACCAGAGAGGTATGTGTTCAGTGCACGCACCACTCTTCTGAGTGTCCACAGTGTCACGGTCTAAATGTGAGCGTTTGCACACACTTGTCTCTGCTTTTTGTTGCTGTAAAGTTGTTTTGATAATTCGAGTTTTCATGATAGAAGTACTCCATTATAACCACCTGACACAACTTTGAAACTTCTCCAAATTAATTTCACATTTATAACTCATTTGAGTCTCTAATGTAGAATTCAAAACAAATTTATGTTAAATAGTAGTTTGCCATTACTCATTTCTGAAAATCTAAGAGTTTTGTGTCCCTAAGCTATAAATAATATTAATGATTGTGGTACTCAGTAATGAGATGGGTCTGGAGTTATTCTTGAAACTGTAAAATTCAGAAATTTAATTAAATTTACTTCCATTTATGAAATTATCAGATTAAGTCCAATGAGCTCTGTATACATGCTCAGTCGGGTAAAAGAAGTATAGAGTAGGTTAAAAATATGGCGTAGCACATTTAAAAAAACCTCAGTAAGTCCTGTGTTAGAAGCATGTGTCCTGTCTTCAGCCATAGGCTCTTACGTTCAAGTTCCATGAGTCAATTAAGGGCTGTTGCAAAGTCTGTGTTATTTTGGGAGTCTCTTGGACTACCCTGACCAATAATAAGAAGAGAGATTTCTCCAGTGTTTTTTGTTATATAGCCTTCAGCTATACATATGTACTCTTTCTTTCATGTGGTGTGTGTATGTCTGTGTGTGTATGTGTGTGTGTGTGTGTGTACACTCACAACGGGGGAGTGGCGGGGGGAGTAGAGGTCAT